AGCTTCTTGTTACTAGTAGAAATGGCCTCCAACCTAATAGCGATGGCTCCAACCTAGTAGCTTCTTGTTACTAGTAGAAATGGCCTCCAACCTAATAGCAATGGCCTCCAACCCAGTAGCTTCTTGTTACTAGTAGTAATGGCCTCCAACCTAATAGCGATAGCCCCCACCTAGTAGCTTCTTGCTACTAGTTCAATTTCAATCAGCATGACTCACACATTTTGCTTGTCTCCTGGATAAGCTCTCTGAATGCTGCAGTGGGTTTGATTTTCTCTTCATTGGTGATGAAAAAATCCTGGCAGTGTAGCAATAAAGCCATGACCAAACAGCACGGAATCAATTGGAGCAGGTTAAGAACCAACAGTGTCCATTCAGTGTGCGTTTTTTTTTACAATTTTTGTGGGGCTGAGACCCTGGCCATGCAAATGTCCTTGAGGCCGTCGGCGCGATGTGCCTTCAGAAGCCCAAAGCCAAATGCAGAACATCTCCACAGGTCAAAGGACAGAGTCGGACTGAGCGTAGACCCGAATCAAAACCCAAGGGTATTTTGTGAAGGCACGCTACATCTAGGGGGTACCAGCAAGATTGGATCAGTATTGATGTTCAGTTCTCAAGCCCACCATTGCTTCAGCCGAGACCACAGTGAATAGTCCCACCGAGCCTTCGCTGTCATCATGATCTGGACGACATTGTCGATGGATATGGATTTTCGGATTATGTCTTCGCACAGCGCCTCCACACAAAGTGTTTGTTGAGAATAGCACCAAGCAATGCGTTCCTAGATCAAGCTGTGAATGTGTAACTGACCAATCTAGTTCAACGTTGGGTGCTTCAGTCTTTTCCATACCGTGCGCAAACGTGGAAACAGTCATGGTCATCTTTTGACCCGTTACCTTGGCTTAGGGCATAGTGCGACATAGTTCTATCACACAGCTTTGTCCCTGAGCCCGGTTGCTAGAGAAAAGTCATTTGGCTCTTCAGAAACTATCAAATGCTGCAGCAGCAGGGAGACATGTGGATACATTTTCGTCTTTTGAAGACTGCTTTTGATCGATTTCCAACGATTATGACCAACACCGATCAACGGCGAATACCTTTCAGCCCACAGGGCCCAAGTGGATCTCCTCAGCTCTCCTGCAACAAGATCACCTGGCACATCTGGCACTGGTCAAGAGCAAACCGTAGCTAGTTAGTAGTAAGAGTGGAAGTAGGTAGTGACTAGTAAGCAGCGCTACTAGTGGCTGGGACCCAGAAGAGTTCAGGCGTCAAGGAAGCTCCCCAGCCTGAGGGCGGGGGGAGCTTCCTTGAAGAACGCCTCGCATGTTTGACTTGGCTCCTAGATTTCTAGAGAAACTAATGGCGATGGCCTCCAACCTCCTAGCGATGGCACACCCTAAGAGCGATGGCCTCCAACCTAATAGGAATAGCCTCCAACCTACAAGCGATTTGGTTTCTAGATGTTCATGCTTGATCGTGGTCAAACCAGCTGGGGTCCCCTGTGGACAGGCCACACATTGAGGTGCAACTCTTCAATGTCAGTGCTTACAGCTCCAAATCCAAGACTTTGATAGAATTCCTTCAATAGCATGTTCCTCCTAGAACCTTCCCACCATCACTTTCTGCGGGATGTGCTGATCCAGCAAGCTGGCAAACCCTTTTGATCAGTTCGCACAAATGTGCACTAAATGGTTCGCAATACTCTATTTAGTCACTGATCTGCTGAATCTGCTGGATCAATAGTCTATTGGCTCGGTGAGTCAATGATGGATTTGATGGACTCTTCATGTGGCATCGACAGACTTGTGGCGAGCAACACGCCAGAAGTAGCAACACGGGCCAGGCATGCTGCTGAGTATGCCTTCAAGGAACAAGTGCGTCAAGTGGCGGGAAGCATTCGGATGTTGAAGCTAGGTCGTGAACACGAGTGGAACGTGTTTCTACGAATTTCTCAACATGAAACAAGCACATTATTCTTGCTTGCACATCTATAGCCGCCTGCAGGGGTATGTCAATGGAGCAAGGAAAGCCATGTGCAACGATCTGATTGACCTCAAAGCAAGTGTTTTTCTAATACTGGTGAAGCAGTTTTCAGAGTAAAGGAAGATGGATGCCACCAACTTCTCCGCAATTTGTGATGTCTCTGACTGCACAAACACAATCTATACAAATGCAACACCAAAACTGCCTTTCTTCTTCAGGATTTATGAGGTTACAGCATTTTAAAGCCCGGCCTGCACATCCACTCTGGCACTGTCTTCGGATTCTGGAACTGACCTTTGTGATCTTCCAAGATCCAACATCTGCAACATACAGATGGTAAAGCAATTGCTCCACGTGCAACAAACACCCAAATTTGACAGGCAATACACATAATTCCAACACAATTGTTGTCGGTATGTGTACAATACTTCAATGTAGAATCATACACATTGAACACTTGACTTGAAGAGTACGTGTAAGTGAAGTGCATAAGCATCTACAAATTGGGAAAACACGCAGCCAAGACTCAGCAAATTATTGGTTGCTTCTAATCAAAGGATAACTTTTAGCTAGGGGCTAGACGCATGCCTTATAGGCATCTTGCATCAGATCGACAGGAAAGTGGGGTATCCTGCGTCCAGTAGTTAGTAGCTACCTAGAAACTACTTGCTACCTCTAGCTACTAGCTACCTACCTCTAGCGGCGCTCGCACTAATGATTTTGTTCCTCGATTTTTAGGGAAACTTAATTGTACATCAGAGTATGTTCTCAGAGAACTGAGGTTTCCATCACTTGGCGGTTAACTTCTGCCTGTGACTTTGAGTAGATGTCTTTAAATAACTTAGTCTAAAGTTAAGCCCGTACCCCAAACAGCCAAATAATTCTTGCAAGTGCCCACAAAATCTTCGACCCTTGGACTGATTTGTTATGACCTGCTTAAGAGGCTGCATGGATTGACATAGGATTCTCTCCATGCATACTTTTTGTGCTTTAATGTAATTTTTTGAGCTGCCCAGACCGTATGCTTCAGAGATATGCATCGCGCAGTGTGAAGGCTAAAGGAGTTGCATTTTCAGAGGGTATACAGTATATGCTTTCCGGATCTTTCCGGGGTAATTGTGCTTCAGCTGTATGCTTGACATTGACCTAAGTCAAACACGCTTAGCAAAGCGCAACTTTGCCTATTGATCCCACCTGCCTCCTTTGATTTACTTTGACTTCCTTTCGCGTTGTTTTGATTTCCTGTTTCTTTCTCACTAATTCCAAACCCTGCACCATAACTTGTGAAAGTGAAGGGGAGGCTGACTTGCTGATCAGGATGCGACAGTGTCAGATGATGAGAAGTGCGCAAAGCAATGCATCTGCTTTCCTCAACCTGCCCTAAACCTGCAGCGATATATATATAACATGATCTCAGGATCTGGCAATGCCAAACTCCAGTTCTTCGAGGGAGGTACCTGAGCTTGGCCGGTCGAATCACGAAAAAACACAAAGCCCGCAAAGCCATACCACTGCATCATTCTGTACGGCTGACAACAACAGCAACTTTTGCAAGGCCCAAATGTTCCACACGCGCAATACTCGGCGACACACTCCAAACGTATAGCTATCAAAGCTCTGGTTCCTCCAATTCACGACGACAAGTGCCAAACCTGAGCCACAAAAGGGACGGATGCCTGTTCGATTTGTTTTCTCGATGCAGGCTGTGAGAGAACGGGGCGTACAGCTGTTTCAGAACACAGGAAGGAAGGATTGAAGGAAGGAAGGAAGGAAGGAAGAGTGAGTCTTCAATGCTTGTCTGGTTCGTCAATGCACTGAAACGCCACTCTTTTGAGGAGCAAGCGTGCCCTACAATGCCTCGTCTCGCGGCTGTCCTTGAACACAGCCACAAGTGAAATGTCAAAAGGCAGAAGTCATTGCATGCTGCACGAATCAAGGGAAGCAACTCCATCACACTGATACCGTACCATATATTTTAAGTGCATCTGCTCAATTAGTAGCGTCCTTGTTCCTAGTAGCGATGCCCTTTGTTCCTAGTAATAGCGTCCTTGTTCCTAGTAAAGCCAATTCAGAATTGGAGCGAAACTTGCTTGTGGCCTTTTGGCCCTCCACGTGCCGATTCGCGTCTTTTCTTGCTCTCGAGTGGGCTGTCTTGGTGTGTGGATTCTGAGAAGGGTATTGCGAAAATGAGTAGCGAATGCATCCAGAGCGTTCCCACCTACGCGTGACGGTGACGGCTACGCTGTAACTATTGCGACTTGCGATGGTGGTATTTGTTCGTAGACAACCTCGGTTGCAAGAATGTCTGCGTTGGTGAGATGGAAGAAAAGGAGCGGCACGATGGCTTTGTGGGATTGCGGGTACTTAACCGGCCTCCAAGCAAAACTGGTCTTGCTGTGCCTTTCATTTCAGGTTGACTAGGTTAAGGCTCATATGAAATTTGCATTGCCAATGTCCCTGCCACTCTGACTCTGATTGGCATGTCAAAATGGTTGTACAAAAATGGCTTGTGCAGGCGTGTCTGGGAGTCTCCACTCCTTTGAGTGATGTTTCACCTACTTATTGATGTCACTATTGTTTCATGGCGTTAATGTTGGGCCGTTTGTTGGTTGAGTTGAGGATTCTTACCCGTCGTCGGTCTGGGTCCGGGTGGATCCCTTTTCAGTCGTTGGTGCTGCTGGTCGCTCTACTGGTCCTACCTGGCTACTTTTTGTTTTCCTGCTGTTTGATGGTTTTGCCGCATGATGCCCCACACAAGCCAGTCTTGATATCTGGAGTGTCTGAAACGATCTGACACCATGCATTCCATGCAGTGAGCGATTTTTGAACCTAGATGGTTCCAAGACTCGACTGCTAAGCTGGTCTTGTTCTCAAGCATGTATTCGAACATCATATGTTGTGGTAAGCGTCAATTCCACACAGCCCTTGTGCGGGTGTATTGGTGTGATCAAAACTAAAGCCATCAAAACTTGTCTTGCAAGAACTGATTCTTGACTTCTCAAGCAACTCATGTGTTTTCCTGCTATGCAGGCCAACGCATTTAGCCGACACAATCTCGACAGCGAATTGGAGACAACAGATTCTGCCTGGCAGCAGTAAACTGCCCTATCCAGCTGTATCTCAGCATACGAATAGCTGAATCATGCTACTAATAAGTACATTACATAAGGGCGATATGCAATAACGTCGATCACGTTTGCTCAGGCCAGGTGAGTGCCATATGGTGGTCCTCTGCTTCTGACCAACGCAAGTACGCAAGGATCCCTCCGTGCTCCAAAAACACATGCACCTTGGTGTGCTTCTCACGATACGTAACATGGGCTCATGCAACACATGTTCTTACTTCCGAAGAGTAAACATCTCTAAGCTGGATGCAAAACGACTGCAATATGAGAGACTCGGGGAATCAAACAGAATCAAACAATCGCAACCAGCTTCAGGGAGTTTTTTTGGGGGAGGTTTATGGGTTTGGGTTGGGTGCAAATGACAAACTTGATGGGTCTTTATTACGATGTGCTATGGGCCATGTTTCTTGTATAAAGGGTGAGGAAATCGGAGGAATTCCTTTTCACTTACAAGCAGCAAGTCCAAAAATAATAATGCAACTGCTCTCATTGTCGATTGTCCCAGTGTTCTGCAAAGTATTTTGCAACCATCGACATTTACTGAAAAACTGATGCACTCGTGAAAGCTTAAACTGGGCGTCCAGGCTCCGTCCCCTTGCAAAGGTGACCCAGGTCCAAGCTCTGCAGTGTGCCGGTGTCCCTTTCCAGTCCTTGAAACACTCAAGGTCTCATTGAACACAGCAGAACTGATATTTAAAAAATCCACATGATACCACATGTCTGTTGCTGCTTGCTCTGAAAGCAATCAAAGAAACATCAGCAACGCATTATCAGGAGTGCACTGGTGGAAAGTCAAATATTTATCCAAGGCAATTGCCGCAGCGCAATGAGATGGCGTGAAAGCTGCAGCCACGCGGCCTTCCAAACTACCGCTAAAATCACAGCAGCGAATGTGGCATTCTCTCGCCAGCAACAAACCAACAATCTTTGGAACTTCCCTACCTTGCCTACTATGAACATGCTGATGTGATCTCATCTGCAAGTTTGCTATCAACCCAAATCAACAAACCACGCCTGCCCAAGTCAACATGTTCAACAACAAATAGCATGAGCACAGTGTGAGTCATCCAGTATAGTATTCAGTGCTAAGAACATCGCTGCGTCGCCAGAAGGATGGCGCACCTGGGCGCCAGAAACACAACATTTTGGCCAATCCCTGCCATCCCTGTTTCTATGCATTGGGCGCTTCGAGGCACTAAAGCGCATGTTCACTGGTTTTGCAAAAACTCCGCAAGATTCACAACAAGAGAAGGCTGTGCTTCTGAGGCGCTCGAGACCAGTCCAGCCGAGGACCGTGAGGCCACTGGAAGGGCCTGCTCTCGCAAACCTGAACAACACTAGCGCAACAGCTGACAGTAGTAGAACCTAACACTTCACACATGTTCACACTACAACATACCATAACTATGTCGATTGGGGTTGGGCATTGACGAGCGACGTAGAAGAGAATGGGTGCAAAAATCAATCTTGCCAGGGGTACAAATTCATGAGTCAACAGTCATGAGAGTGTCGTGTTTTACGTTTGTGAAAGGTGGTGCGAGGAACATGCTGTAGCTGAGCATGAAAGCTACAAGTTTGCCAAAACCCCTGTCGTCATGTAGAGAGTTGCTGCCAGCCAAGTCCCTACAGTTCTGGATCAGGCGGATGTGTGAAATATGTCTGTGTACACGCAGCATGTATGGTAGAACTTGGAATGTCTGAGCGTGCACTTCCCACTCTGGAAAACTAGGAGACTTGAGAAGAGGTAAACGAAAGCCAAGACCAGCCAACGACTACCGAAAAAAACTGAAACTATATATACATATACTGTACATGTTTCCATTCTCTAGCTCTCCATTTCTCCATCTCGCTGTAACAACCGCTCCTTTTCTGGATACGTATCAGGCCTTTAAAAAAACGCCCCTAGGGGTAGTTTCCATATGTTCTCTAGCTCTCAATCTCAGCGCTATCTCTCATTTTTTCCAGCCACCAATCCGCCCATCCTGTCTACACTAAACACACATCCATCATAGTCCATCTATCCACATCCACATATCACCTTTCTACATGTGATAATCTCTCTATCTCACTATCTGTGACACTCTCTCCCCTTCTATCTATCCATCCATCCACCCATCCAGCTAGCCATACATCGACCAACCAGTACCTACTGCACAAGCGCACCCAAAAATTCCAGAAGAATCTTCAACGCTTCAACTCCCTTAGGGTGTGAATGAACTCTATGAGCCAGCCCACCATCTTTCAACCTCGCTATCTCTCTACCTCTTTCTCCGCCTTTATCCAGCGCCATCCATTGACCCGTCCACAGTTGCACCATCTTTTTACACCTAGCCTCATCCACTTTTGTAACAATCTCTCGATGTTTTTGTGGCTTGATCTCCCTATCTCTTCAGCTGGTCGCTTTGTCCTTCCTTCCTTCCTTCCTGGCTGGCTGGCTGGCTGGCTGGCTGTCGGTCTGGCTGTCGGTCTGTCTGTCTGTCTGGCTGTCTGGCTGTCGGTCTGTCCGTCCGTCCGTCCGTCCGTCCGTCGGTCGGTCGGTCGGTCTGTCGGTCTGTCGGTCTGTCGGTCTGTCGGTCTGTCGGTC